GTTGTTTGTTCCTCCCATTATGAGCACTGTTTGTACATCCAAGTTTTTCATATCATTGAGAACCTGATCGCTACAAAGGGTTGAGAGAGTTCCACCAGGGCACGAAACTGTCACTGAATCTGGCAGAAAAATCCCATAAACTAGCGATGATCCCAAAACAGCATATGTCACTCTCTTGATCTTATCAGAGCTCAATATTATCCGTCTTTTGGGGAGAAACCTGGTTTCAACATGAACATATCTTAGACGCAAGGTTTCGTTTAGCTTTTGAATTCCAACCTTTCTAGTTTCAGTCATTTTAGCAACCTTTAACTGAAACAAGTCTCATAGTAATACTGGTTAAACAAATACGTTTTCAACTGTTTACGAAATTCAGTTTCATTTGGTAGTTTAAGGTTACATGGTAAACTATTCCAATGGTGTGCGGCAGCAAATCTAAACGTCCTTTTTCCATAGTTCGTGTTAACCAGTGGTTTCTTAATGACCATGGTCCTTTCACTGAAACGGGAGGAACTTTTTTGTAGTGAAAAATATTTACTCAGATAAGACGGAACGATTTGAGGATTGAAAATGCATTTGTGTACGATTGTCAAGACTTTAAAAATCACTCGAGATTTTATGGGCAACCAATGTAGATCATGTAGATAAGGAGTAATACTCGTTGACTTCTTCAAACCGAAAACAAATCTGCAGGCACTATTTTGGACTTTTTGCAACTTGTAGAGCAGATAATTTGGTAAGCTCGAGTACAAGCTATTGCAGTAGTCTAATCGACTTAAGACTAGCATTCTTGCCAACATATTTCTATTTTCAAAATCAAGGTAGAAACGTATGCTGTATAGTTTCCGGAGACTGTGGTAACTGGCGCCACACACGGAATCGATCTGTTTTTTCAATGACAAGGATCGGTCAATGAGGCAACCTAAAGACTTCACAGAGTTTTCTGTTGATTTCATCAGCTTAACCGTTGAATTTCCAATGAGTATTGAACCGTTTGTTAGACCTTTTGACTTACTAGTGGCTAGGTTAATTACTTGGCTTTTTGATTCATTTAACATAAGCCCCATGGACGAAAACCAGTTCGAAATAATAACCAGAGATCTTTCTATTTCTGCTACTTCACTCTCATTTTTAATTTCACAGTATAAAGTAGTATCATCGGCATACACTTGGTATGAAAATTTAGTTGAGCCAATAATATCGTTCAATGGTGTCAGGTAGATTGAGAACAGGAGGGGTCCCAGAAGAGAACCTTGAGGCACTCCAAATTCGAGTTCTTGAGAATTCGATAAAACATCATTGATAGCAACAATTTGAGTCCGATTCTCTAGATAGGAAAGAATTAGATCCACTGCATCATTCGTCATTCCAATCCGATTTTTCATGATCTTTCTCAATGTTTTATGATCAATGGTATCAAATGCAGCTGAAAGGTCAAGGGCTATCAAAAGGACCTGTCTGTTGTTGTCGAGACTAGTCAGTAGATCATCTGTAGTTTTTAGCAGAGCCGTTTCAGTTGAAAAATGCTTCCTGTAAGCAGATTGGTGTTCATCTAGAAGATTATAGGAGCTAAGGTATTGATCGAGCTGTTTATATAAAATTCTTTCAAAAACTTTACTGATAAACATCAGATTCGTTATTGGTCTATAAGAATTTAAAACGTTTTGGTCAAGTTTGTGGTCTTTAAAGAGAGGAGTTATCACCGCTCTCTTGAGACACTTTGGAAATTTGGACTGATCGATGCAATTGTTTATCATAATGATGGAATAATCTTTCCACGAGTGTGCGATTCTTTTCATATCTATAGTTTTCAGTATATCTTCTCGTGAGTTCGCGTTTGAAACCATTCTTACTGCTTCTTCTAGTTCATCTATAGTCACATATTGGAATTGGAAAGAAGAAACTGCAGTGAAAGCAAAGAGTGGCGGCGAGATTCCATTACTTTTCACATTTGCCACTAAATTTCTAACCTTCTGAATGAAAAATTGGTTGAAGTTTTCAGCTAATTCATAATCACTGGAGTATATCAGTGGTAGAACGTTTTGTTGTTTTTCTCCAGCAAGGCGTTTCAATTCACGAAACTTGAGCGAATGGCTATTTGAAAGCTCAAAGCGCCTGGAAAAATATATCAATTTCTTCTCTCTAAACAGATCTTTACATTTCTTTAAATACTCCTTGAAAGCTGTTTCGTTTTCTAATCCAGGATTTACACGCATTACGCGTTCTAATTTTCTACGTTTTCGTTTTACGTCTGCTAACTCTTTATCGTAAAAATTACAAAATCGGTTTTTGACAACTTTGGTCTTAGTTGGCACATAATCAGTTTTCAGCAGCTGCAAAATTTCGATAAAATTCTCCGCCATCTCGTTCGGGTCACTGGTGTTCAGATTCAAGATTAAATTCTGATCTATTTCCGTCTCTAAATGTTTCCAGTCTGTATTGTTCCAATCATAAATAGTCAATCTGGTTTTATCCTTCCGTTGAATTGCGATTTCATAAGTGAACGTCAATAGATGGTGATCAGAGTATTCAACGTGCTCATTTCTAACGGGTGAGCACAATTCCGGGTTTGAACAAATTATGAGGTCTAGAATTTTCCCGTATTCGTGAGTTGCTTTCTTAACAATCTGTTCTAGGTTATATTCCAGTAGAATCGAACAAAATGTATTGGATTTGGCACAACGTCTGTTTTCTAGATCCAAATTAAATGTTGTTAAGAAAGACGGTGTTCTTTTTTTAAGTCAGCTGCAGAAATTGTTTGCTTAAACTACTCAAATAATTGCTTTGCAAAACTACTCAGCTATCTTATCAGTTTTAGTTGTAAATCGTCGCTCATGATTAAAAGGTCTTCAAAATGATGTCCTTTTGAAATTTGGCGAGCCTTCCTTAATTTATTGGAAATTGCATGCAGAAAAAATCTGCTTGTTAGATTCGGGTATAAATTAAATATGATGAGTTATTTATTTGCAAAACCAAAAAGAGTTAGTGTTGTTGTTTTTTTTAGCAGAAAAAAACATCATTTTAAAAGAAAAACTCGAAAATAGTGACGATTAATTAAGAGTCGAGGAGCAACGCAGTTCAGACTCTTACAATACTGGACAAAATTATACGCAAATATATGCTTTACTCTCTTAAATGCCTTCAGGATAATTTTTGGACACTATTTACTTACAAAACCTTTTAGATTTTAAATTTACCTTTTACATTTTAAATGTTACCTATTAAATTTTACACCAAACCTGTTAGATAGACCGACTGCAATTGATCTAACTACCCTCTCTGAAAATCTCAATTTATAGTTTGAGATTTTTACTTGAGTTTTTCCTGGTCTAAAAATACCAGTTTTCTTCATTTGTAATATGTTTTTCCAACAGAAGTGAGTTGAGAAATTTCTGAACAATGTCACTCTGGATATTGAATTTTTCTTGTTCAAAATGTTTCGCATCGCATGGTCAAATGTTTTACTCCCCTTTTTCGAAAAAGTGTTCACTTTTCAAGAAATTCGAATACAATCGATGTAATCTGTCATTTTCAGATCTGGAAAAATGAAGTAATTGCTTCGAGCTAAAAATTGAGACTATTAGAGGGTAGTTAAGATCATTTGCTGTCGTTGGATTTGGAAAAAAAAACATTCGTTTCTTTTGTTACAAAGAAGGCAAATTTCATTGTTGAATAGCAAAAGTATAAAGGTCACGATAAACGTGATCGACTTATAGCTTCGAATGTGGAGCTTAATATTCAGATTTCCCAGCGAAGAAAAAACTTTTTGATTCAATTTCTCAAATTGAGTTACTTTTATCAAAAATTGTCAAGCATAATTTGTTCTAAAAATTAGAGTTTTTTTATTTTTGTCTTCGAAACTCATTCATTTACTTTTTTCGAACTATCTGTGGCCATGTTTTATAGTTTTGCATATGGTAGCATGGAAAAGAAAACTTTAATTGGATTGCTATTCAAGTTCTTTTTTGGGTTTCACCAATTTTGGTCTTTAATTAAGGGGTTTTTATAAGGCACTGATTTTAGGCAACTTCTGGAGCAAAGGGCCAAGGAATACTCATATCGGAAGATTTCGAGGAAATTGTCAGTTTTGTAGAAACCAAGAAATCCAGTCACGTGGTGCAAAAATACATCGAAAACCCCTTGTTGTTGCCCAATGGGAGAAGAAAATTCGACATTCGATGCTGGGTTGTTCTGACAAATGAGTTTGAAGCTTTTTTCTACAAACCCGGGGTTGTGAGAACGTGCTCTGAATCGTACGATTTGACCAATTTGTCAAATACATGCTCACATTTGAGTAATCATTGCTTACAAGAAGAGCTGTCTGAGAAGTTTGGAATGTATGAAACAAACAACGAAATGTTTTTCGACGAGTTCGAGACAATTTTGAATGAAGAATTTGATATTCAGTTGAAGACAGTAATTGAATCTTGTGAATCAATTGCAGCTAAATGTTTAGCTTGTATAAAGGAGAAATGTAAAGTTGAACCGTTTGAAAAAATGCAACATTTCCAAGTGTTTGGTTTTGATTACATGTTGGACGAATCTGGAACTGTGTTTCTATTGGAAATTAACGGCGCACCCGCTTGTGCGCAACGATTAAAAGTTCAATTTGTGAAAGATCTGATTGCATTAGTAATCAATCCTTTCTTTGGTATCGAAAAGCGACATCAAGGCATGATTTCAAATTTCGATCATTTGGTGCTACCTAATTTTTGAAAAAAGTTTTTGTTAGTAAAAATTTTGGCGTATTGGAATTATATATTGTAAATTTGTAAGTATTTGAAATTTAATTTCGTTCAGTTAGTTTGCTTTCTTCATGATAGAATTAATCTGACATAAGTCTAATGCACGTTTTTTTTTTCAAAAAAAGTAGTTAAGTTTGCCCTTTTTTTTGAAATATTTTAATCGGTGTTTTGAACTCATTCGGTGCAGTTTTTTTTAACAACCGCGGACCAATTTTACAACCGCAGATCGCAGCCAACGTTTTTTGATCTCATTTCAGGTGTGATGATGATGATGATAAGACTTGATGATCTGCTTGTTTTGTTTTCTGTCTCCCTCTTTCTTCTCTCCATCCCCCTCTCCCTCTGCGACTGTGAACTGAAGGGGGGCTCAACCGACGATGGAACAGGAACAGTGTACATCAGTGGGGATATGCATAAGTTGTTGGAGTCTGTGGCGACTGTGTCTATGACGACTGAGAGTAAAGAGTATACGTTGGATTTGTGTCCATCTGTGGCTGATAGTGTAAGGCCAAATTTAACTTTTCAGGGTGGCCTATTCAGAGTTTTAAATATTTAAAGAATCACCATTCATCATTATCGTTGAGTTTTACACCATCTTCTGGTATTTGACGGTGAGTTTAAGAAAAATAAAAATGTTGACAACTCTTTAAAAACATGTATTAAATCAAAATTTATAAGTTTATTGAAGACTATTTCATCCCCAATCATTGTCTTATAACCTTCTCATTGATCACAGAAAATTTTTTGACAAGTCAACGCTAAGAAAATACAGATATAGCTAGTTTAATTTGGATCATTTTATGCTGATACTGAGACAAATCTACTCATAGAAAAATAAACTTTCATAAACATATACAAATTTTACGATAGTTAACTGGCATTATTGAAAAGAATAAAACGACGAGCAGAAAAAATACAGCAGTGAAAACTGAAGCAAATTAGAAAACTTTCAAGGAAAGGCAATTGCAATTTTTTTCTCTACGAAAAGCGAGTATTATAATCAGTTTCCAGAATTAGATAATACGGAGCGCAAATTTAGATCAAATTTTGCTCTTGTGAACTGTCGGAAGATACAGCTAGTTTAAATTGGGATCATTTTTAAGCTGATTATTGCAGAAAAAGGTTAACGATAATCCATAATCACGTTTGAGTTGGTGCAAATTCTCAACCAGTTTAAGACAAGAAGTTCTTGCGTAGAAACACTCGGAACACTTTTGAGTATTGAGAAAAAGTGTATAAAGAGGCAATACAGTGCAAAGAAACCTCGGACATTTACGGAAAAAATAAAGCAATTCACAAATATTAACAAGAGTAGCTGTTTCATGTCATAGTAGCCCAAAATGTTCACACTATAAATTTTATTCAGTAAAAAAGCAAGAAGAAATTGAATCATTCAATTTTTTCTCAAGGTTTTTTCACTTTTCTGGGCAGCGAGAACTGCCGAATTTAGTCTTTGATTAATTTAAATTAATGCTGAGTGAAAATAGTTGTTAATGACTCTTCCTTCTTACTCAAATGTTAAAACGTTTTGCGTCTTAAATAGCGTAGGAAAAACAACCCTAAGCCTGCTCCTTCCTCGCCCTATCCTCAACACGCTGCTGGGCTAAAAAAGTTACTTATAATTGCTTGACTGAACTCGGCCTCAATCAAAACGGTCACAGCGACAGTATGTGGTTTATTTAGACAGCTGTAAAAGTCGTCACGAACGACAGCAAAGAAACTAAACTAGGAATTTCGAGCAAAGTGCAGTCTGCGTTCAAAGGATGCAATTGGGCACTAATCTCATTCGGATCAGACGAGAACTACACGGAGACCAGTTGCAAGGACCACCCGAGACGATCAGGTAATTTTTCATGTCATTATCGGGAATCTATTCGGATATCGGAATCTTGTACAGTAGTGGGTTCCTTCCCCGCAATTTGGGTACCTAATTTTTCGCAAGAGTTTCCCAGGGTACAATTTTAAGACGGAAATTTCTGACCGACTAACTCTTAAAGTTTTATAAATGAACATTTATTTTCAAAAGGTTTCATTGTGTTTAGTCGTACATATCACATGTAACGCCTCACTGGAAACAGACAACAAATTGAGGCATGCACAAGACTTCAGCCACACGGGCGAGTGTTACTACTTGTTCGAAGTGGAATCGAAATCAGCCCAAGTTTGCCCAGACGTCAACGAACAGTCAACACCAACTAGTTCGGATTCCCCCAAAGATGCAAGTGAACAAACTGACCCTAACAAGGGAAAGGAAGAAGAGTCCAAAGCAACTAATTCGGATGCAAAGCCAGAAGAAAGTGAGAAGAATTCTAGCTCGGATGCACAAACAGGCGGAGCGGGGAATGGTAGAGATGGCCATTATTTAAAATGACTGACTACAGTGCTGATTTAAATTAACCGGACAAAACGCGTTAAACTTGAAATGTAAAACGCGTTTTTCTCAAGTTGGGTTAAGTTTAGGTGAAAACTTAAGAGGACAAAACTATCAAAAATTACGCCAAAAATACCCAGACGATCACAGACATATTTATATCAAAGTGAGCCCCTTACGTAGCCCAACAAACTTTAAGAAGGGTATAATCTCCAAAATATTGTATAAGTTAATTTATTTTTGTTTGATAGACAAAAAAGGTCATTTTTACTATGTAAAATACCAACTTTTTATTTAAAAACAATTTTTAAACAATATGCAATTTTTTTTGGAGAAAATACCCTTCTTAAAGTTTGTTGAGCTACGTAAGGGGCTCACTTTGGTATAATTATGTCTGTGATCGACCGGGTATTGTTGGCGTAAATTTTGATTAACTAAGAAAAGCCAAAATGACCCATTTTTGGGGTAAAATTTCGGACCCGAATTTCGCAAAACAAATTACACCATATTAATTCTGCTAAAATTCTAAGCAAGTTTTGTCTTCATAAGTTTTCACCTAAACTCAACCCAATTTGAGAAAAATGCGTTTTAAATTTCAAGTTTAACGCGTTTTGTCCGGTTAATTTAAATCAGCACTGTAGTGTACTGTTTTTGAAGTGAATCATAACAGATCTGAAAGAGCTTTTGAAATTGAAAGATTTTTTTTGTATGATTTGATAGACATTTTATCCTTTGAACTCAATAGTTGAATCATGTCTCAAAAGTTGGATTATTTTTGTCTTAAGCTCATTGACTTTTTGAAGCTGTCTGTTGGCTTCAATATTTTTAAATTAATCTAACTTTGATATGATGTTGGGGTGTGCATGAGCAATGAACGAGGTCAATGTAATTGTTTTATTTGGTCATGATTTTCGTCAAAAACAATCCCGGAGATATAAATTAAATACTCACTTCTCTTTTTGAAAAAATATAATCTGCTATGATAATAAGTCTATCAATGGCCATCTCTGTGAACAGAACTGGACGCACAAACTCAAGAACCTAGTTCAGGCGGCGGAGTTTCTTTCTTCACCGTCCTCTTCATAGTTCTCCTACTCGGCGTCTTCTTCTACTTCGCTATCGGCATTCTCTACAAGAGGATAGCCCTGGATGCAAGGGGGTGGGAGCAGTTGCCTAATTCAAATGTGTGGGTGGGGCTTGTGGATAAGTGTGTAGGTGTGCTTGATAGACTCAGATATGGAAGCAGCGCTGGACGATCTGACAGGTGATGATCTTTTTTAAAGCGGAGCTGTCCCACTATTTGGTGCTTTCTTACGCATGGACATTTCAATGGACAGTTACTGTCATAACATCGTTTTTGGCAGGTTTTCTTCATAATTTCTGAGTGAAGCAGAATGCATTTTTTTTAAAATTAAAGATCGCGAAAAAAGCATATTTTCTGGGCGGAATAACTATGCCAACACAAGCGTTATAAGAAAGGGAAGCTATAATACTTATATTTTTTATACGTTAAGACGGAAATTGATTACTACCATTTGAGATACATCGCACGGACCGAATGCGACAACTGGCAATAAAAGACATTATATTCACCACTGCAGTCGAGCTAACATGTTGCGAGCGTGCCAACATAGGGTAGGACTTAAGGATAAATAAGAGCCGGTTATCGGTGTATTTTTTTACGAGTTGTCTGTTGCATTTTACGAGTTGTCTGTTGCAAGTTGTCCCGTTACCCCCAAAGACATTCTTGATTAAACCTGTCTGAATTATTTTTTGCTACGCTTCGTATTTGGTTCTTAGTTTTCATTTAGTTTAAACTATCATATTGGCCACTTTGTGTCAAGGTTTTTTATTGGTGCGCAGGTATTTTTGACGTTTTTTTTGAATACTTTTTTTCCGAACGGCTTTTATTTCTTAACTTAAATCGAAGAGCGATCCAACTTTGTGCATTTTTTGACCGTGATAAGCTGTTTCTTTGGCCATGATATGCTTGAGTTGTTCGCCTGCTTGACCACCGTCTTGTTTATTAAGAGTCGAAGTTTAAGGCAACCTCCACTTATCAAACAGCAAAAGTCTAAAGGTCACGAAAAACTTGATCGACTTGTAGTTTCGAAAGCAGGTGCGGATCTAGGATTTTCTCGGGGGGGGGGGGGGGGGGGCGGGTTGCGGATGTTCAAAAACTTTCGAAATTTTTTTAGGTCGACCCGAATTGATTTTCCGAGCTCTCCCAAAGCACTAAAAAGACCCTGTTTTGGTAAAATTTTCTGCGTCGCAGGCAAAATTTTGAAAAACAGGCCAAAAAAGCCGTTTTTGGGCACTTTTTAGAAAATTTTGACCAATAAAAATTGTTTTTTTTTTTGGCGCGCGCTCCACCCTTAGAGTAAGTATATATTGGCACCGAAGGCGCCTGTAGAAAAGTTTTAGGGTCCGTCACCAAATATCGATATCTCAAAATAGTACAAAGGAGGGTCCCTTTGGGTCGGCAGGGGGTCGAATCGGCCCCTGTTCGAAAGTGAATTATTTTTTCAGATTTGCCAGCGAAATTAAAATTTTACCTATTGATCGAGTTTTCTCAAATTGAGTTAATTATATCAAAAGAGTGTCAATCATACTTTGTTCTTGAAATTCAAAGAGCTGTAAAGCCATTTGTTTTTTACTTTGAAAATTTAAATTGTTTTTTTTTTTTTCAAAAAACGAGTATTTTTTTTCTGTTTCCCTGCGTTCATTGACTCTTCTCCAACTGTGCGTTGGCTATGTTCAGGTACTACAACAATATAGACACTGGAGCTCCTCCATTTGGGGAAGAGATGGGACCAGAATCGACCGACGACCATCTGTTGTCCATGTAGAAAATAACACAATCGAGAGAAGTGGCGGAGCAGGATGAACGCACGGAGAGGTCACTTTTACAATCATTGATAGAATTGAACAGGAAAGAAAGTTGTTACAAGAGTTTACTTTCATTGGTCAAGACTTAAAATATCAAACAACTATCCTATGATCTGTAATTCATCTATAGTAAAACAGCAGTGAAAATATTACGGCAAATCATAAGTTTGCTGCAGTTACTATTTTGTCAAGTGGTAATGCGCCTTGAATTATAATTGTGAAAATTAGATGAGTAGTTTGCGTGGCAACCCTGAATATTCAAAAGTTAAATTTTGAGGATACCTTTCATTAATATCATAAACTTATCGGTCCCAAGTCTTTCCCAGTTCCAGACTCTTTGAGGAGTATTGTTATTTTTGCAAATTGCGATTGGAAAAATGGTCATAGCGGCATGGGATTGGTTTCCATTATAGAAACTTTCGTTTTTAAGTCGGTCATTGTTAGACTGTAACTTAACGCATCTGTAAATTATCATTATTTTTGTATGAAACGGCGCTATGTACATACATCCATTCAAAAAAGTCATCGAAGTGTCACAAGAGCTCCATTGAGTTCGAATAAACAATGTAAATAAATGCAAGTATATTTACTTCTAAATCTTTCATTTTTCTTTTGTATTTTTTGCTTCAATCAGTAATTGAAAATTTTTGTATCCGATATTTTGTATGTAATAGACTCTGACGAAGGCCAATATATTAATAGTAATTTTTAGTGTCGATGAACAATGTTCAGACACTTATTGAAATCGTCAAAGTTGTCATAGCCAGCAACCAGCGCAAAAGGGTCTTTCAAAGTTGACAAAATATGCAAAAGATCAGGGGCGGATCTAGGATTTTCTCGAGGGGGGATTTAAAAATTTCGAAAATTTTGTCGACCTTTTTTTTAGGTCGACCGAAAATTTTGAAAAAGTACTCCAAAAAAGGCATTTTTAGGCACTTTTTAGAAAATTTTAACCAAAAAATCGCGTTTTTTTTCGGCGCGCGCTCCCCTCTCAAAATTAGTATATATTTGCGCCAAAGGCGCCTTTAGAAAAATTTTTGGGTCGGTCGGCCAAAAATGGATTTCCTAAAAAGAACCCCCCCCCCCCTCCCCCCCCCTAAATCCGCCCCTGCAAATGATAATCAGTAATTTTTTCTGCTTTAAGTTGGACACTTTTCCAACTGTTGTCTAGGTTTTTTCAGCTGAATATGAAAAAATTTACTGAATCATCTCTTCAAATGATGTATCTGTCTGTTGGCTGTTTTTCAAATTCAATCCAAACTCAAATGCTAATAACTTTGAGGTGGATTAATCTCAGATTTTACTTACATTTTTAGCGAAGTCAAACCGCGAAAAAAAACTTGAGCATGAAAATTTTTTGTTAACTTTTTCTTTAAAATGATTCCTCACTTAAGGGGCGGATCTAGGCTTTTCTTGAGGGAGTGGGAGGAGGTTTCGCTACATTAGAATATACATAAATATATATATATGCGCCAACGGAGCCTTTGAAAAAATTAGGGTCGGTCAGCAAAAAATGGAAGTCTTAAAGTAGTTCCGCAAGGGGGATCTTTTGGGGCGACAGGAGGTCGAATCTCTGAGAGTAGAGGGGGCATCCGTTCCCGCTAAATCAGCTCATGCCTCACATGGTTGTTTTGTTTGGTAACATAACCTATCTTTACTAACATTGACACAATTGAAATTGTCCAAACTTTGTGTAATTTTAAGTACCAATATTGACGCTTTTGGATCGCTTGTTTTTTTGTCTTGGTTTTCAGGAAAAAATACCCAAGCTCGACTTGGATTTTTTTTGGTTTGACTTATTTTCATGTGCTAAAAAGAAACTTAATTCAATAAGCTCCCTTGAGTTTAATCGCACTTCAGCTTTTTGTTGGCTATACCGATATTTGAAAGGTCAATTCGAAAATTTTAACGTGCAATTTTTGCAAAATTTTTAATTTGAGGTTCAAGAAGTAAGTAAGTTATTGCTGGTAAGTTTGTCATTCCAACTCAGAGAGACAAAATTTCCGTTATGAAGAGCATAGCCGTGCGTTTTCAAGTTAGTTATGAAATGAAGCTGCGGACAAGCTAAATCAGTGAACAGTCAAATTTAAACGTATTCGAGTTTATCGTTTGTTATAAATCGACATCCCAGATATGCTCAGAAACACCACTTTCATTGTATAGTAAGAAAGTTACTAGTTATTTACCGTTCGGATTTTCATTCAAATTTCAGCTTCTAGCTTTTTATACTCCATTATTAGAAAGATAAGTGTTTCGGACTAATCAATCATCATCCATAACAAAGCCCTAATTGACCAGTTTTAGAGGATTTGAAATTTTAAGAAAAAAAGTAATGTCTTCTTAACTTTGTATTTTTCATTTATTCTTTTCTATCTATTGAGTTCAAGGAAATCAGAGTGGGATTCAGATCAAGTTTAGACTGAAAATTTGTACGAATATATCTGACACGAAAGTAGACTCTCATGCACTTTCCCACCCTCCTTGGAACGAAACTTGGCATAGTTAGCAAACTTAATTTCGAAAAGGATTGTTTTTCATACTTTACATCGTACCATCACAGTTTTAGCCATGGTACCTCGTATAACTACTTTAATGATTTAAAAGACGAAAAGAGCCCGAAAATAGATAGCATGATAATCATACGGTGCACTTAATCAAGAACAATTTTATGAGATATTCACAAGCTCTAATCGAGCAGTTCTTAGGTGACATCTTATTTGGATTTAATAAAAAGTAGAGAGAGTGAACATGGGTATCAGTTTGGATGTTTTGGTCATGAAATTAAAAATTGTCAACTAATGGTATATGCCACCCACCAAAGCTTGATACATACTTGTCAACGGGCCGGGCCGGGCCAGGCCGGGCCGAGGTTTTCACTTTTGTCAACGGGCTCCAACGGGCCTTACTTTTATTGACTAACCAATGTTGTTTCAGCGCGCACTGCACAAATGGGTACAAGAACAAATATGTCAGTTAAAACCAAATGCAGACGAAGAACCATCTGTTACCTGACGCCGAGTAGAGCCAACAATTCCAACTCAACAACAAGATTTTTTTTCTGATATGCGCGAAACTTTTGCTGAAGATCAGTCAATTCCTGTGGTCGAGATAGCATATGACGAGCGGGCTTTGCGCATTTCCGGTACAGAAGAGATAGAAGTAAACAAGTCTCTCTCAATTGCAGTTGCAGATTGTGATGTTCTTCAATTTTGGAGAAAAAACTCTGACAAGCTTATTACTCTGACAAGTTTTACTTTATAATTAAGTAAAACAATTAATTAAAATTGTTTTGAAACAACTTTGTTTTTTTTTACCAAAAAAGCAGCAACGGGCCCCAACGGCCCGATATTTAAAAACATCTCTGTTTATTGGGCCGCCAACGGGCTTGACTTGAATTATATTGGACCGGGTCGGGCCGGGCCTCAATTATGGCGGCCCGTCAACAAGTCTGGCTTGATACAAAATTACATGAATGATGAGAGCATTTTTAAAAATCTAATGGTTCGTTTTAAGCTAGGAAAATAGCCAGTATACTTCTTAGACTAACCTCTGAAAATTCAAAGAGATTCTGATAACTAAAAAAAATCTTTCGAGTTAAAATTGTAAAATCATTGATATTATTGGGGCATCTAGTAATTTTTCTCAGTTCAAATTAATTTTTTTTTGTTTTTAGTTTTGATAAAATAGATTGTTGTTCATCATATTTTGCTCAGCCTTTAATTGCATTTTGGCCGAAAGTTTAAACTCCAAAAACAATTGCATGAAATTTGATTTTACTCAATGAAAACAGAAGACAATCTAAGACTCAATTGATGATTTAGTTTTTCCAAATTGACCAATGTCGTAATCTGGTCAGGGAAGCTAAGATTCTGGGATCGCTCGAAAAAATCTGACAGAAGGACATTGAAACTTTTCACATGCAGTTTAAATAGCACAAAATGTGCACTAACAATTATCAGCTTGTATGACGAGGGCTTCTCAAAGATTATTCCGGGGTTTTCCGCAAAAAATTGCCGAATTAACGGGATTTTCTGCAAAAATTTACAGAAAATAATAGACAGTATTATTGATTATTGCTCTAGTTTCCTAATGCTCTGGTTTCCTAAAGCATGCCCTGGTTTCTTGCAGTTGGGGCCAGGCACGTTATGATAGACGTTTTTATATAATACGATTCCAAGGATATTTGATTTCCTGGTAGGGCTGCTGGAAGGCTCCTGCCCAAAAGCCCAGGATTCAATTTTGCTATCTAAGTCAGTGACAAGACGTAACATGTTTTCCCCTGGCAAGGAAACCTTGGTCATTGAAAAAAGTCAAGTTATAATAAGTAGCAAAAAATTGGAACAGACAGAAATAATTTGAAAAAGCAATTGGGCAATTTTTGCATGCAAGTTTGACTTTTTTCTTGACCTTTGAGGCTTTTTATTAAAAAAAAAAACTTCTGCCCGCAAAAATTTTCAATTCTGTATATATCAAACTTCTGCAACTTTTCATTTTGCAGAAAACTGAGCTGTATTTTGTCCAAATTATTGTCAGTAAAATCAATTTTTGTATAGAATGAGTGTTTTCAGTATTCTGCTTCATTGAAACTCAAAAGATTTTATCAACGGATTTTGCGAAACATTTTCAACCGGCATCTTCACGCAGTTAGTTCAAATGTGCTTTTCAGTTATTTCATTGAATTGTGTGATAGGGGAGTCTAGCATCAGTAGTTATTGCTTTATAGGAGATGGAAAATTATTTCAAACGCAAGAAACAATAATTTGGTGAAAAAAAATCGAAAACTGGTTAAAATAGGAAGACACTGCAAACAGAGCAAATAGATAGACCACCAGCAAAAATTGACTGAAGAAAAAACAGATGAGAAAAGAAAAAGACATAAACCGGAAAAAATGCAAGTTGCTGGGGACCAACTGAAAGCAGCCCCTGAATAAAGTAAAAAATTATATGATTTTTCTGGCAAAATTTTACATAATTACCATAAGTGAACCGCCCCCCTACACACACAAACCACATACGCATACACATATACACACCAAATAGAATAAGTTAGAAAAGAATCAAATTGATATCGCCTAAATTACTTTGGAGGGAGGAAAATAACCTGATCTTTTTTCCTTTTCGAAGCTTCGGAACTTCGCAAATCTGTTCCATTAAAAAAAATTAAAGCAAGTTCAAGCAATTTACAAAGGTTTAAGTCTTTGAACATTTTGAAAAAACTGGAACATCAAACAAAAATTATTGCAATAGATTAAGGAAAAACGGTTCAGGGTTGACCTCCCCACAAAAAAATCGGCTATTCCTACTCTTTCATTCATAGAGTTATGTAAAAAAACTGTTCTCATACAATTTTTATACCAGTTTCATACGATTTTGATTTTTTCTGGTCTTCAAAAAATGTTTTTATCGTGTATGATAAGCACTTTTCTCTAAAATTGTTTCCCTTTTTTTTTGTATCGCAAACTAACTTCTCAAAGAACAATTTTTTTAAATACATGCATTGTTATACGTCTATAACGTAGCTCAGGCTGAAATTTTCAAATAACTATCCAAAAACCACAACTGAATGTCTATATTCAGCCACAATTAGTATAATTTGTTTTTATTAGTTCAGATAAACCTAAATTTGTAAGAAAGACTAGTCGATTTTTTGACCAGTT